CTCTCTCTCTCTCTCTCTCTCTCTCTCTCTCTCTCTCTCTCTCTCTCTCTCTCTCTCTCTCTCTCTCTCTCTCTCTCTCTCTCTCTCCCTCGCTCATGGAAACATGGCTGTCCCTTGGGCCCTCGTCTCCCTCTGTCCCTTCTACCTGTACGGCTGGGGTTGTGTGGAACTCACGGTGATCGTTTCATCTGCAGATTTGAATTGACGACAGCTATTGATGGGGACTCGCTTGCGTTTACGCTCCTCTGGGAGCAGCCGCGCTGGTCCGTCGTCCCAAAGGGGTCAGGCCCTGAGGGAACTGCTTGATGGACGCAACACCTACGAGGAGCTGGAGGAAGAAGACCCAGGGGCCGGGTTTGAATTGCTTCGGCGACAAACCTTGAGGCCGGAGGAGGAAATGGAGCAGGCAACACAGCGTGAGGAGATGAGGGACCTGACGCAGAAGTACGAAGCCGCTGCATCTCAAGCGGCGGAGCTAACAGTTGCCCACTCGATCACTCCGGAGGAGACGGACAATCTTGTGGCAGAGGTGATGAGGTATATGATTTTCAAGAACTTTCAGCAGCCGTCGGTGCCGGTGAAGAGGGAGGAGTTGAACCAGATTGTGAACAAGCAATACAAAGAAAGGCGGCAGCTTCCGGGGTACATAATAGCGCTAGCGCAGGCGAAATTCCCTGGGTGTTTTGGGATGGAGATGCGGGAAGTCACGGGGAGCGCAAGGAGGAGGGGGGGGGCAAAAGAACGAGCATCGACTTCGCAGTCGCAGGCTGGGCTCAAGCTCTATGTTCTGCGCAGCATGCTGCCTGCCGATTTACGTCAGGATTTCATCGAGACCGACCATTCACTTGCTTACCAAGGTCTGGCTATGGTGGTCATGAGTGTGATCGACATGGCGGGCGACAAGATCTCTGAAGATTCGTTGTGGAGGCAATTGACGAAACTCGGTGTCAGGGCCGACGACGACTGTCACCCGGCGTTCGGCAATGTGGAGAACATGATGCAGATGCTCGCCAAGCAGAGGTACGTTGTCCGAAATAAGGAGGTGACGGCCGACGGCGACACATATTTCTTAGAGTTGGGTGAAAATGCAATGGAGGGGGTTGGAAAAGAGCGGCTGCAGAACTTTGTCTCAAAAATTTTGAAAGACTGATCTTGGTGGACAAGGTAGAGAGAGGGAAGTCGCCATTGAAAGCCAGTAGCGCATGCTTTGGGGTGGGGGTACTCTGGGTATGCTGTTTACGCGTGTCATCCTTGCGCAGGGGCCATTTGCTAATTTACCCTTCTCTGTATCGTTCCAATTTTAACGGATGTCCCGAAGGACGGGTATGCTGTTTACTACTAGACAAGAACACTGGAATGAACTGAAAAATCGTGTGAGAAAACTGAAAAACGGTGTGAAAAAAATGAACTGAAAAAATGTGCGAGAAGCCAAAGCGGGCGAGCTCAGTTGGTTGAGCACGTAAGTGGTATTCAGGAGCTCGTGGGTTCGATTCCCCACGTCGTCCATTCAATCCCCGCGGGCCCCTGCGAAACGCTTCGGGTTCACCTCTGGAGATAATTGGCTTGGGCCTCCTGGTGGGTTGTGGGAGTAGCTTCGGCTTCCCAGCTCGGGCCAGGTGTTAGCAGCCGGCCGGGGTACTGCTCCCCACATAGAGCAGATTGTACAGAGCAGAGGCCAGTGTCAACCCATAACTTTCAGGGCCACCCGACTTCTGTGCATACATAGGCTTCAGGAGGGAAAATTCAACCCGACAATGAGTAGATAGGGGTAGGTAGCACTTGTTAGAAAGCCACATAGTATTGAGAGAAGAAAGTAGGGTAGCAAAATACAGTTCGTCCCCTGATGAGGAGAATACAGCTGGGTTTCTTTAAAAATTAAAAAAAAAAAAATAATAATAATAATAAATTGTGTGAAAACAATGAAAAGGGACGCCTGCGAAACACTCTATTTTTTTTTCTTCTGAAACCTCTTCGGTCGACGACTCGGTTTTCTTGGGGTGTCATACCATTCTTCAACATAGTTTGACATAGGGCTCAGCCTCCTGACGACGCGGTGAAACTCTGACGAAACAGTCTGTGACAATGCCTCGTTGTTGGGGTGTCGTACCATTCTTCAACATAGTTTGACATAGGGTTCAGCCTCCTGACGAGTCGGTGAAACTCTGACGAAACAGTCTTTGACAATGCCTCGTCTGTTGTCCTTTTTTCCCTGTCTGCCTGTGGCCCTATAGTTCATTGGGCAGTTCTCTATTGGACTACATGGGCTCCGTTGACTACCCACCAAATTGCAAATGAGACAGAATCTTCCGCTGGAACTCGAGAAGATACACCGCCGTATTTTTTTGTCTTTTGTGCATGGGGTGAGTAGTGGAGCTAGGCCCTATGTACCCCCCTAATATATATGTATGAATGATCCTATTGTCCTTTTCTGTGTCTTATAGACATGCGGCTTTAGGTCCTCGCCAACACTACTTACGGAGCGAGACGAAACATACGAGCGAGTGCATTTTACCATAGGAGGAGGCCGGATACATATGTTACTATGATTAGTGACTGATGCAGTGAACGATGTATCTTGCCATCTTCTGTGGGTTGATGCACTCGTAGCTTTTTTTGAACGATGTATCTTGCCATCTTCTGTGGGAAGATGCACTCGTAACTTTTTTGCTTCTCGAGTAGTTACTCCCGGTTAGGCTCTTAGTCAACAAGAGGAGGAGGAAAAGGTCGAGGAGAGAGCGGAGGCTGTAGAGTTCCGATGGTACCGTCTTCCCGTCTTCCTCCGAACAGAAAGCACCCTGATAATGGATGTATTCAGACTATTTTTCCGCCCTGGTACAGTCAAAATGAGGGTGAGCAAAAGAGCTATAAGAGCGAATAGACAGATCCGTGAACGGTGAATGGTTCGGGGATGACTGTGCCCATTTATCTATAGCTGTGTACTGTTTGACAGCATTGTAAGTTGTTGTAGATTTCTAGATCGCGGCGGGAACACACACACACTAAAGGGGATTTAATAACCATGGTTTGGCCTGGTATGAGGATTTTGCTGAGCCTTGGGAGCATAATACCTGGAGGAGCAGGACTTGCTCGACAGATATATTTTCAGGAAAGGACAAGCGCGAATATAACCTTAGGGTGGATAGAGAGGAGACAGGAGAAGACCAATGGGGTAGGCGTGCAAGTTTTCTTCTCTCTTTTTTTTTTTTTTTTGGGCAATAAATTGAAAAAAAAAATTCCTCCTCTTTTTTTTGGCCATGCTTGTTGAGGGTAGAATATAGCTTAGTAAAACTTAGTTGAAAAAAAAAGAAAAAAAAAATGCCCTCCGCAGTGGAGTGAATGGAACGAGTTTGCAGGGGAGGGGTCATTACCCTTCCCCCCCCCTTCCCCCCTTCCCCCCTTCCCCCACAGGGGTCATTACCACCCCTACCCTGCCAACCCCCCCCACGCCCCCGCCTCCTCCTGGATGGGTTTCTTTTAGCTTTTTTTCAGATTGGAGATTGCTATGAGCAACCAGCCTTGGAGTGTAAGGGCCTAGTTGCACCACTCGCCATCTGCAAACATTTCAAATGTATCTGCACTCAAATTTGTCCATATGCATTCGAAATGTTGGCAGATGGCAAGTAGTGCAACTAGGTGCTAACTATGGAACACTTGTAGAGACCAGAGACCTGACTGCCTTTCTGAGGGCATACTCACAATAGCTCTTTCCAAATGCATCTGGCTGCAATTACGACCAGACCTGGATGAATCTGACGGCAATAGAGTCCGAAAAGCTTTATCCAAAAAGTCCTGATGTGAATATGCCCCGACTGACAGTCTTACCCATGTGATAATTTGCAGTCAGGGTGATGACCAGGTGATGACCATATTATTATTATGGGGGTCTTAGGCCCCCTCTGGGGAGGCGCGGATGCAAATGCATATGGACCCCCGCGGCGCACCGATTCAGCCACCACGTTAACGGCCTAAACCATGGAGGTACTGGTGGTTTAAGCCACCACTACCTTTCATGATGGAAGGCTAAGTGATAAATATAACCTATGCCGCATTCTTTGGAGGCGGGCGGAGGCCGGGAGCCACCACCGGATGAAAATGGCTGGCGGCGCCAGCCAAAACAAAACAAAACGAAAAAGGTCGCGCTGGTGCTTCGGCAGAAGCTTGGCCCCGCAGTTCTACTCCGCCTCGGCAAAAAGAGGCTCAGAGGTAGTGGTGGTTTGGGAGGCCGGCAAAGGCAGGGAGCCACCGGACCGATCGACAATAGAGGCCTTGGAAGACCCAAAATGACCACCAAGGGGCGCTGGTTACATCCACAGCGGCATGCACGAATATAGCAAGAGACTTCTACCAAAACCTCTTCGCATCTGGGTGTGGGAAGCAGTTTAAACCACAGGTCCCCCCGCCACCGAAAAGCCCTAGTCCCTGTGAGTTAGGGCCGGGTTGTACGGAGGGGCGGCGACCGTATGGAGGCGCCGGGTTGTACGGAGGTCGACGGGTCCAATCCCGCCATTTTGCAAGCGGCAACTTTGCCGATTTTTCGTGCTCAGAAGAAATCATGAAAATGTCTGAAAATTTGAGGGTCTGTAGATTAGGTTGTGATCTTTCAGGGAAAAATATCAGAAAAAAATAAATAAATCATTTTGACGGCGAAATATTCACCACGCCGATTCGGTTTATTTCCAACTTTTGTCGCAAATTCCGTTTGGAGGCCCGTTCGGTTTTCCACGCTGTACTACCGGTCGTTCGACCAAAAAACAGCGACCGCGCACTAGAGGTCCTCCGCGGGTTTTCGGTGGCGCAGCGACTGGCGGAAATTGAAGAATTTATGCTTCCCCTCACCAAATCACTCACAGACCAACAGAAAGAACTCTTAGAAAAGCCTCTAACGAAGGAGGAAGTGTGGACGGCACTGCTGCTCGTGGAGGAGGAAAAGACCCTGGGCATTGATGGTCTGCCAAAAGAATTCTGGGAGGCAATGTGAGGAAGGAAGTATCTGTAAGAATCTAATGGACTACTAACATGCGATATGGGTGACGGGACAAGCTGGCAAATTAGTAGGTCAAGGGGTCATGACGCGCTTGTACAAAAAAGGAGGACAAACAAATATCAGGAATTACAGACCTATCACACTTCTCACAGTGTTCTGAAAAAAAAAAAAACAAAAAAAAAACAGACCTATCATACTTCTCACAGTGGTCTACAAGATGGTGGCCAAGGCACTGGCAATTCGTATGGCCATCATCCACCCGGACCAGACTGGATTTATCCATCCAGCAGGAACATCCAGGACAACGTTCTCCTAGTCATCGAGGTGATCAAGCTTGCTTGCAAGACAGTCCAAAATTCTCTTAACGTAATGCAGCATTCATCTTCATTGACTTTGAGAAAGCCTATGGCCATGTAGATTGAACGTTTCTGGACAAATGTTTAGAAAAACTAAACTTTGGGCCAAGCTTTAGGCGTTGGGTAAAGATCTTGCACAATAGTGCAACGACCAGGGTCATGGTCAATGACAACCTTGCACCGCCCATATTCACTCTCCATAGATCTGTCAGACAAGGGGACCCGATAGCGCGCTGTTTCTTTTTGTCACAATTATGGAGGCACTAGTGGCCCTGCGCGGTAGCACCTGAAAATGCGGTAGGTACTGGTGGCTTAAACTACTACCCCACTGAAGATTCCCATGGTCGTCCGTGGGACTGGCGTGGAATAGAGGATCTTCGAAATACGGGACTCCTTGAAACGTGCTAGGGTTTTCTGGAGTTTGGCAAAGTCTTGGCGGGACGAAAAGTGCCGCAGAGGAACAAGAGGAGAGTCAACGGCCAGTTAATTACAAAACTCTTCTTGTTCCTGTCGGCGCTAGTTAATCACAACCTGGAGGTAAATCTTCCCCACAAAGGTCAGACGTCAGACTCCCGAACACTAAGGAGTTGGTGCTGAGACGGTCGCTGTTCTGCAACCAGCTCGCCAGTTAATCACATCCTGGAGGCAAATCTTCCCCACAAAGGTCAGACGTCAGACACCCAAACACTTAAGGAGTTGGTGCCGAGACGGTCGCTGTTCTGCAACCCCGAGCTGGTAGACCAACAAGGGAAACCTCGGATCCTAAAGCTCAACGAGGCCAGGTGGGGGCCCTTGGTTGGAGAAAGGGATATGGCAGATCAAGCACTTATAGCAAGAGGAATGGAAATGGTGGCGGTCCCGCACTGAGCGAAGACACATCCTGAAGGGTTGCCACAATTAGAGGAACGGAATTGGTGGCCGTCCCACAAACCTGGATGATAAGTTGCTAACGACACTGGAAGCAAGGACTAAGTGGCAGAGGGGAGCGATTGGGCAACTTGGAAAGGGGAAATGGACCCAACCGTGGTTATGGGC